GTCCAACAATGTCGAGTTGGTTCTTTATGGCCTCATCAACTAATTTTTGTTCTTTTCCTCTGAGTGAGGATGTGTTCCAGTTTCCGACTTTTAGCTCTCATTTGTGTTGTTGTTCTCGTGGAGCCTTTTCTGACGTGCTGTAATGCACCGCGCTGTCTACCTTCTCTGTTCAGAAGGGGGCAGCGATTCCGTTGCTGACTGGTATCTTCGTCGTCGTTCCATTGGTCTTCGTCAGCCATCATTGTGCTGCCATGCCCCTGGCTGGCAGAGGGCAGTGAGCAGGTTCTGGTCAGACGCATGTACCTCCGAAATCAGTCATCACTCATTATCAATCATCTCCTAGTTCCGTTAAACGGATAGCCGTGAACAAGGAGAATTGTCTTTTTTTAACCATTGCTGCGTCAGTAAAGCCTGTTCATCATCTGACTGTTTACCTGTGGTGTAGAAGCTGCTGCCATAATCTAATCAGCCATTAAACCGACTCCGCTCCGAATGATGGCTGAATTCCTCATTAACGATTTTCGAAAAGTTAGTAACTCGCTATCATTTCTCCATGATGGTTTGTTTGTGAATTATTATTGAGATGAATGAAATAATAACGATCGTTCCGCCCTTCGAGCACTGCTTGATTCGAATTGCGGATGCAGCAGCTTCAGTAAGTTTTTGACATGGCCCATGTCCTCCGCCGATGTTGCAGTCAGACTCATCTGAAGGAATGCTACTCGCATTGTGTGCATAACCGCATCTGATATTGTTAATGGTTCATATAAACTTTCCAAATTAAATGAACGGACCGTGGTTCGGGTGCTGATGTATACGCTGAATTTGGAACTGACTCAGTTGAAAAGTTAAACAACTTTGTTGCAACTTATGATGCTTTCATTTAGTTCAATTTATTAAATTACGTGCGTGTTTATGCTAGTCTCGTGATTTCCTGTTGCATCACCTTCATCCACTTTGTAATAGCGAGTGGCTTCACCTTTGAATTTCAGAGTTTTGAAATTCGTGATTACGAAGATCTGTTGGAGGATATCAAAATTTACCGAGCCCTGGAAGGTGACAAAAACGATGAATTTTGGTCTGACATTACGGTGATCGCTGAGGATGAATTGAAAAGACAGAAAAATGCTGCCTCATCTGGTGAGTCAAACATAAACTCATTGTATTTACTTTTGCCAATCAGTTTACGCTTCAGTCAGTTAGTTTCGATGACCGCTTATCGCTTCGGGTCACGGAGGCAGACTCGTCTGGCAGTGCTGCCAACGTTTCTGATTCTGTGCCACTGTATAAACTCCGTCAGAAGATGACCCGAAGCTTTGGCAGCGCCAGTTCTCCCAGGTCATTCTTCACTGTCTTTACTGTCGATGCTCTCTTCCGCCGGTCAGTGGAGCAGATAATGGCTGTTTCGCACTCATTTCTGAAATATTTCACAAAACGCGTTCAGACCGCTGCAGCGGTGACTTCTCGATCTGGACGACTAGAGATTGTACAGTAAATCTCTCTCTCTCTCTCGGATTCTGAAGTCTGGATCCCATCAAGATGTGTGTATCCAGCGATTTACCTCAGAAGGCCCACTTCAGTCGCTGCTACCCAGGATCGCAGCTGCTCAGTTATGATCCATGATTCATGACCATGGGTGGGCATGGTGATGAAAATCGACTTCAGTACTGCACAGTTTCGTCTTCGGATTCTGCCTTAGTCATAGTGGTCCAGGGTAGTTCATGCAGAATGACGGTGGCCATTTCACTTCGCCGGTCCATTTCTGCCTCCCATTTTCCAATATTAGTAAACATGACCCTAAGGTACGTCAATTTCACTTGTTTCACCTTTTGCAGAGCGCAGCAGGCATGAGAATGAAGAATCGCAAGGCACTTCTTTTGGGACACGTTATATGCAGTCCAGTAGTGCTGTGAATTTTTCCTGCGAACACTAGAGATCAGTTTCGAAGAATGCCGACAAAACAAGATCGTCTGAAAACAGCGAACTTCTCCTACGCTGATATATTCGTCGTCCTGGTTGTGCCTGAATGTTCTATCCATGTACAACACAAATAAGAGAGGGAAAATAATGTAACCTTGGTGGAGACAAATGCCAACGCTGGAATGCTCGACTTAACGCCATTTATTCTCTCGTAGCATCTGATATCAACATATGGTAACCGGATCACGCTTAGCAACTGGGTATTAATCTTGTGCATCTGCAGGCACGTCCATAGCTTGTTGCGCGGGATCCGGTCATAGGCTTTGACCAGGTCTGCAGAGCACGCTTAAACCGAACGTTCATGGTTTCTCAACAATCTGGCGTATGGCGAAGATCTAGTCAGAGGTGTTTCGGCTTGACCGGAAGCCACAATGCTCATCTTAAATTTTACAGTCGGCTCTTCCGGGGCACCTCCTTTCCAACGACCTTCGGTAGACTTTTCTCAGGTAACCTAGTGAGGCAATGTCCAGATACTTTGAGCTTACCCTTCCTGAATATGGTTACTGCCATCCTGGCTGCCCAATATTCTTGTGTTTTCCCCGTCAGTTGAGTTTGAAAAACACGTATTAGCCGCAACATTCCTCCTTTGCCAAAGGCTTTTAGCATCTCAAGGCGGATTTCATCGACTGTTTTGCCATTGTTCAAGCTTTTTGCAGTTTCTGCTCCCGTATCATCTGGAACATCAGTATTCGTTCCCTTATGCTCTTCAGACTCACTCTGCTCATGCTCTCGATTGCGATGAGAAGAGTCTGACAGTACTCTCGTTATCGCTGGAGTATGTCCTACTCCTAATTTTCAGTTAACGACATCATCTGGGGCCTTGTTTACACCTGCGCTACATCGCTATTTAATTCGTCGAACGGGAATTCGAGTTTAAAATGGCGTACACTGAATGTGATGGTGTTAATCATCATCTTCTGAGACTACAGCACTGGAGAAACGATGGTTCTCATTCTTCAGTTTTCATGTTTAAAATTTGAAAATGTTTTTATGTAACGTGTGATAATCATTTAAACTAGTACGAAAATGAATGACCCTTGATCATTGTTTTTGAGTATGTTACTGTTTGCTGTTGTTTTTGTT